TATTGGAGATTCGGTCGATGGCTTCGAGGACGTGCATGGTGGTTTTGGCTTTGGCAGCAGGAACCCAGCGGGAGTTTCACTCTTGGAGTTTGCCAGAGCGAGTGATTTCGTGGTTGCTAACTCGTGTTTCCCTAAACGAGACGACCATTTGGCTACATTTGTTAGTGGAGTGGGGACGACACAGATCGACTATCTTTTCTTGCGCAGGTGTGATCGGGTGCTCTGCAAGGATGCTAAAGTAATTCCGAGTGAAAACGTCACTACCCAACACAAGCTTCTCGTGATGGATGTTATGATCAGGTGGGAGAAACATAGGAGAGCTTTGAGTGGCAACACACAAATCAGGTGGAGGAGACTAAGTGCGGAGAACATCGCTGAGTTGACCAGGCGAGTGCAGGAGAAAGGTGCGTGGGAATCGACCGGAGAGGCTACAGATATGTGGGTGCGGACTGCTAACTGCATCAGGGAATCAGCCATGGAAGTGTTAGGTGTGAACTCTGGCTCTGGGTGTAGGCGTCGGGGTGATTGGTGGTGGAGCGATTCAGTCCAAAGTAAGGTGGAAGCTAAGAAGGTGGCGTATTTGAGGTACATGGGTTGCAATGTTGAGGAGGAAAGAGCGGCGTTACGAGTGAAGTACAAGAAAGCGCGTAAAGAAGCTAAGTTAGAGGTAATGAGGGCAAAGAATGCCGCTTTTGAACGCCTCTACAAGGATATTGAGGAGAAAGGCAGTGTTAATCCACTGTTCCGGCTTGCTAAGGTGCGTGAGAGGAAGGCCCGAGATCTAGACCATGTGAGATGCGTGAAGGACAGCGATGGTAGAGTGTTAGTTGAGACTGCCAAGGTGGCTAAGCGCTGGGGGGAGTACTTTAGTGAACTCTTAAATGCGGGAGGAGACCAGAGGCTAGTTCTTGATGAGTTGGGACATCCTGGGGCGTCTCGTGTGTATTGCCGGCGCATTTGCCTGGAAGAGGTGGTTCGGGCTCTCCGCGTGATGCGTAGTGGGAGAGCTTTGGGACTAGATGAGATTCCGGTGGAGTTTTGGAAGCGTGTGGGTCGTGGTGCGTGGGTTTGGTTAACCAAACTCTTCAATGTTATCCTCCGGACAGCAAGGATGCTGCAAGGATGCCTGATGAGTGGAGGGAGAGTCTCTTGGTCCCTCTGTTTAAAGGCAAAGGTGACATTCAGGGCTGCGAGAATTACAGAGGCATCAAACTACTTAGCCACACCATGAAAGTTTGGGAGCGAGTCATTGAGTATAGGGTGCGGAAAGGGGTTTGCATCTCTGAGAACCAGTTTGGTTTCATGCCTGGCAGATCGACTACAGAGGTCATTCATCTCGTGAGGAGGTTAATGGAAGAGTATAGGGCTAGGAAGAAGGACCTTCATATAGTGTTTATTGACCTTGAGAAGGCGTATGATAGGGTGTCAAGGGAGGTCTTATGGAGGTGCCTTGAGGCGAGAGGAGTTCCCATCGTGTACACTCGCGCGATCAAGGATATGTACGATGGGGCTATGACCAAGGTAAGGACTTCCGGGGGCGACTCAGATTCCTTCTCGGTAGGGATGGGGTTGCACCAGGGGTCTGCCCTTAGCCCTTTTTTGTTCGCCTTGGTGATGGACGTCCTAACTCAAGGTGTTCAAGACGGGGTCCCATGGTGCATGCTTTTCGCGGATGATATTGTGCTTATCGACGACACGCGTGAGGGACTAAACGATAAGTTGGAATTATGGCGCCTTGCCCTTGAGACTAAAGGATTCAGAATAAGTAGAAACAAAACTGAATACATGGAATGTCGTTTCAGCGGCCGGGATACAGAATCAGAGGTGGAAGTCAGGATTGACTCTCACCTAGTACCTAAGGTAGACAGGTTTCGATATCTTGGCTCGGTAATCCAGGTGGATGGGGAGTTAGATGCGGATGTTGGACATCGGGTTGGAGTAGCTTGGGCCAAATGGCGGTTAGCTTCAGGGGTGTTGTGTGATCCAAAGATTTCGCCTAGAATGAAAGGTAAGTTTTACCGATCCGTAGTCAGACCTGCTATGTTATATGCGGCAGAGTGTTGGGCGGTTAAGAAGACTCATGTGTGTCGTGTGCATGCGGCAGAGATGCGGATGTTACGATGGATGTGTGGGAAGACAAGGTTGGATAGGATTTCGAACGAAGTTATCCGACGTCAGGTAGGTATGGCATCAGTGGAAGACAAGTTGCGGGAAGCGAGGTTGAGATGGTTTGGCCATGTGAGACGGCGGGATGCTGACGCCCCTGTACGGAGATGCGAGAGGATTACGGTTATCGGGGGAAGTAGGGGAAGGGGTAGACCTAGGAAGAATTGGAAGGAGGTGATTAGGCAGGATTTAGGACTTCTCGACCTGACTGAGGATATGGCCCTAGATAGGAACCTTTGGAAAACTAGGATTAGAGTAGCTGGATAGGAGCTCGGTGTTGTAGAGGTTNGTGGAAGATAAGTTGCGGGAAGCGAGGTTGAGATGGTTTGGCCATGTGAGACGGCGGGATGCTGACGCCCCTGTACGGAGATGCGAGAGGATTACGGTTATCGGGGGAAGTAGGGGAAGGGGTAGACCTAGGAAGAATTGGAAGGAGGTGATTAGGCAGGATTTAGGACTTCTCGACCTGACTGAGGATATGGCCCTAGATAGGAACCTTTGGAGAACTAGGATTAGAGTAGCTGGATAGGAGCTTGGTGTTGTAGTGGTTGTTTTGTAGTGTGTTGTATTTGTTTGGAATCTTCTGTTATTGTTTGTACTTGTTGCTTGTACTTGGTGCTTTATCTGTGTTATACTGTGTTCCCTTCCATATTTTTGTGCAGGTGGAGCCGGGGGTCTCTTGGAAACAGCCTCCCTACTTCCGAGTAGGGGCAAGGTCTGCGTACACACACCCTCCCCAGACCCTACTGTTGTGGGATTCAACTGGGCTGTTGTTGTTGTTGTATGATTTTTACAATTGAATATTGAACTTCTATGCTGTTTATGGGTAGAAATTGAACATATTATTTAGATATTTATCATGTTACCACGCATTAAAGGGAAATAAAAATTCTGAAGTCTTTAATCAAATTATATTCAATTTATCAATACGTACAATTGGGGAGTCTTTTTTGTTAGTTAATGGGACCTCTTTTAAACTTTTCTTCAGCCCCTAACCCCCCTCCCCAAATGTGAAAGTGACCTGATGACAGTAAAACAAAAACTTACCTCCTTCTCCGTCCTCCTGACCAATGTTCCATGCTCTTCTAAAGGTTGCAGTAATTGTTTTATTCCAGCAACATCTGTTGCCCTTGCTGCCCGAGTTCCTTCATATAGGTCACTACAAAATTATAGGAAAAAAAAGGTTCATTTAGTAAATTAGCTGGAGTCCAAAGTTCAGCCTCTTGTATGCTCTTAACTGTTATGTTCCAATACTGATGTGCATAGCAATAAAAAATGTAAAGTTGTATGCAATTCAAATAGAATTTATTTCTTGGACGAAGGGAGTGTCATTTGGTTGGCATTTTTGAAAGAAATTGTAGCAACTATATCCACCTATAGTGATGAAGATGGCAATAAAGTTTGATGTTCACTAAAATAGGGAGGGTGCAAATGTTAGGAAAACAAGAAACAACACATGTACATCTCAAGAAAAGATTCATTAAATGATTCCATACCTAGCTACCATTGTACCAAACCCGTCCCTTTGAAACAACTCCTTCAATAATACTCCACCGATGGTGCCATCTAGCAGATGAACTCTTTGAACACCTCCCTGAAGAGAAACAACGATAATAAGAACATCAAAAATTTTAGTATAGTAACATTCATCCTAACATTTTAGATCACAATGTACTAGCTATACATAAGCAAATACATAAATACATTTGACAAGGGTTTGGCTTAAGCGTATATTGTTCATGATAAAATCTTTGATGGGCTCACCAAAGCAATAAATGTAGAGTTCAAACAAGTAGGAAAGTGATTTGTAAGAACTGGTTATATTTTGCCTTGTTTTGGACCCCAAGTATCTGGGAGGGGGATAAGAAGTGAGGTAAAAAAGAATAGTAGCTCACTCTGCAAACAAAAGTGGCTGCAGCTAACTCTGAAAGGTAACCATATAACCTACTTAGCCTCTCTTGTCCCCCGATGGCAAAACCTTGTTCACCAGACCAAAGTCCATTCCCATTGTCAAAGCCAACTCCGTTCTGGAACGTGGCATTATATTTATGGCTAGCTAATCCATTCTCATTGTGGGAAAATACAGATCCTTTTGAAGCTTCATAGCCTACAGGAGGTATGTCTTCATGACCGACAGCTTTTACATAAGTTGCCGCCGTTTCACTTTGATAAGCTCTTCTACGGACCAGCAAGTCAGCATCCTGAAGAGTTAAGAAGCGAATAAGACGGCCGGATTCATCTAAAATTGGACCATCGATGATGCATATTAGTTTCTCTGCGCCGAGGGCCAACGCACAGGCTGTAGCAACTTCATATGTGCTGCAAAAGTGGCATGCCAAACATCATGAGTTCCCCAGAATATCTAGCATAATGCTACTACAAGAAAGATGATATAATTACATTTTTTGTTTAGATGAAGCATTGAGATGCATTGCATGTGAAATTTTCATCGAGAAAGTATTATTCACATTTCACGGCCTCTGGAAATAAAATGCACTGGCAAAGCAAGACTTCAATGTTATTAACTAGCATCTTTTGTCATCACACTTCATGCAAAGCTACCTATTAAAGACCTACATCAATCTATGAATAGCATCATCATTATCACTAATTCACTATCATTACCTGAAACCCAACTTAGTTGGAGTCCATAGAATTATGTTCACAATTCCAATTAATTGTATACTTTGGAGTAAGATGGAATAAAGCAAAATGGTTCTTAAACTATCTGTGCTTCTTTTGATAGTGGAGTAACAGTTAGTCAATGCAACATTTGATGCTGATCATGGGTCATCTGGAACACCGGCAACAGCCGCTCTATGTTTTAACATAGGGGTCAGGCTGTGTACATCCAATCCCTCCTTACCCCACAATGCGAGGGTAATGTTGTTGTTGTGTTGGTGTACATCATCATCATCATAGGTTATTTCCATCTAAGTTGCACAGAGACGAGACTCGTACTCATACGAGGACAGGGTCAGGGAAACACCCACTTTTCCATATTTTGCAAAGGATTTGGAGGGTGAGATGTCTCCAAGTACCCAAACGAGAAGTTTTCGAGGACGGCCAAACGGAAAGCGGCACTTGTTCAAAGAATCCGTCCATCATATGCATGGTAAATATCATGAGTTAATGAATTGAAATATATAGCATACTTGCAATTTAAAACCTGTCCAGAACTTGAATAACCAACATTGCTAATTGACACAATACAGTCTTGGTCGAGCCTCTCACGTATTTGAGAGACATCAATCTTCTTCACTTCACCCGTTGACCCATAATCAATTCCATCCACAACTCCCCTTCTCTGCCAAAAAGTAACACAAGTAAACTGTATTAGAGCGTGTACACTAAAAAGGGTTTAACTTGGAAGTTACTAGTTGATATCATGAAGCAATTAATGGTATAGAGTTATAAGCAGACCCAAAAAGTGCAATGAAATGCACTAACTGATAATAATATTCACACCTTAGCTGCTAGAAAATTACCGCTGGTGACGCTGACACCGTGATGCCAGCGACTATTGCCTCCATGTCGGCGCACACCACTCAAAGAAGGTCCAGGTGACAATTTTGCTTCTAACAGCATACGAATTTTTCCGGCAGCTGCTATTGCAGCCTCAAGTGAATCATCGTCAGTGATTCTGTAGCGACCTACATACTTTGGCTCACTTCCTGCTAGGATAGTGTATATGGATTTAAAGGTCACAAACTCCTGAGAGTACAAGTTTAAAAGCATGAACAATAAACAATAACACCAATTTTAAATTGAGGAACAATGTCATATTGCAGCCACTAAATGTTGTCCCAAATTAGAACCATGCCTACTCCCTGGTTCCAATGAGACCAAAAGGAGTACACGAAGGAATCTGGAAGAACACTTATTTATCAACCTTTTGAAGAATATCCAACGCATAGCCACCAGGCCACCATAAAATAATCACACTGACCAGTCAACTTAAATTGTTTTTCTTAATAGACTGTGTTATTAAATTCCATATAATTTTTTTTATCAAAATATAATATTTAGCATTCCGATTTCTGGAAGGGATGCATTTATTAGATAAAAGGTTGTATAATATACTCCGTAATAAAACACGTTGTTTGACCAAAATGATAAGAATCAAACTATGAATTTTAGTACATACTCCCTCTGACCCAATTTTTATTACAATCTTTTTTTCTCTCGCCTCTTGATAATTTTTGTTTATTTTTGTATTTTCTTTGATTATTTGATAAAATAAAATATTCTTGTCACTTCTTATTTTGTAGAACTTTTAGTTTTTTAATATGTAACTTTTATATTTTATTGATGAGTAATAATTTGTAGATCATAGTTATTTAAGGCGCAATGCGCACCGACGCAAAAAGGGACTCTAGCGCCTCGAATAGTGATGCGCTATTGATGCGTGCACATTGAGGCATAAGTAGCATAACATCTCTAAAAGAGCAACAGTACATATCAAATGTTGAAAAGCATACGAGAACTTCAGAAAGCAACCTAGACTTCATGGTGTCATTCCTATTTGTTTTTGTGACCCTTGAAACATACTTCCATCCGGGATCATTAGTACCCAAAATTTAGAGATTCTTACATTCTTGAAACTTGAAAGAGTGTACAAAATATAAATACAAAAAGGTAAAAAGGGGGGAAACCTCACAAAAAAACTGAAAAAATATTGTGAAAACAAATAATAAAAGGAGCAACTAACTTACTAACCTTATTCTCAAATCTCAAATACTAGTATACTACATCAATTTTTATTCTCAAGCCCGACAAATAAATATTAAATTTAATTTCAAAGCAAAACTGCAAGATAAATAAAAAACTGAAATTAAAAAAAATCGTACAATATTAACTCAATTCTCAAAAATTTTACTACATCAGTTTTTTTCACAAATGTCAAACGCATACAAAATCAAAAGCAATTGAAGTTAAAAAATAATAATAATTAAATAAATAAATAAATAAATAAATAAATAAAGAGGGGCTTTGGATCAGGATTGTGACTTCAACGCAGTCCAAGTCGACAAGTGATAGAGTTCTAGGGTTTTTTAAAAAATAAATGAAATCTGGGTCGGTCTTATCGGGTCGGGTCCTGAAAAAACATCATCTACTTTGACCAGCGGTCGATTACTCTAAGCGACATCTTTCCAACGGCAACCAGTTGCCACTAATCGATAAAAAATTTAAAAATAAAATAAATTTTAAAGATGTGTCCGTGATGTGCGCCCTGTAGCGTTTCAGATCGCACCACATGATGCAATGATGCACAGTTATGTGTGTGCCTCCTGTACATTGCCCGCATCACAAAGCTTGATGCACAAACCACTGCGCTTCGTGCGCATCGCGCCTCAGGCACGCTTTTCACAACTATGTTGTAAATAAAATGATTTCAAAAGATACGGGGTTTTACCTCGTAAATCCCAATTTGTAATCAAATTTAGAGCGGAGGGAGTAATAATTAAAATGCATATAAAAATTACATTTAAGTGAATACTTTTTTAGCACAGGAAGCGCTAGAACATGGTGACCATGATACTAAAACTTTCCATGTCTCATTGCGGGTTATGGGGGTGAGGCAACCCAAACTGAGCGAGGCAGGGCGGGTATAGTGGGAAGTTTTGAATTTCCATCTTTACATCGAGAGGCCACTATAGATGGCTGGAGATTAGATCTTTTAATATAAGGGCGAAGAGAGCACTTGAAAAGACAATGACGTGATGAAACTCACCGCGCTCAGCTAGAAGCCTATCAATCTGCACATGTGTTCCTGGCACAAGAACAAATTTAATTCCCAAGCCATGAAGGAGAGAAATATCCTGTGCAAGCAATATATTTCAATTAGGTAAGCACTTGGGAAATCAGGTTAATTCCCACTAAGACAAGACAACTAGTGAAATGACTTAGTTCAAAACAAATGAACTAAACACAACACTAACATATATAATCAACAAATAATATTGTATAGTATACTACAACTGAAAAGAAAAGAACATAAGAACAAGGTAAAGCAAAATAATAAGATATAGAGAGAGAAACACACACAAAAACTTTGATAACAATGTTCAGCCAAATAAGATTAATCTTCCTGCACTGTTCAACCAGTTGCTTTTATTATGTGGAAGATGTAAAATTTTCAGGATGAAAAACATTGGATGAAGAGTTCATTTATAACTCCCAATTCCTCTTCTAGACTACAAGCTTCTGATGTGGGCAGTAATAGAACAAAAACCACATGTGGAATTCTTAATTAAGCCACAAACTAAGAAAAGTCAACAAAAACAACCCAGTTGATCCCACAAAAGTAGGGTCTAGGAGGATGTGTGTACGCAAACCTTACCACTACTTGAAAGTTGAGAGGCTATTTCCTAAGAGACCCCGGCTCAAGCACCACAAGTAATCACATATGCAACCTAACTCCTATGTTTAAAACATAGAGTGGCTGTTTTCAGATGACCCATGATGATCATTGAAAGTTGCATTGACTAACTGCTACTTCACGATTAAAAAAAGCGCAAACAGTTTAAATGGCCATTTCTCTTTATTCCATCATGCCCCAAAGCCAAAAAATAGTGAATCTTTGGCTCCATTGGAGACACAAAAGTCAACACACGCAAAAAATTTGAAAACAAAGTTTGACCAAATGAGATTAATCTTTGAGCACCGCTCAAGAAGTTGCTTTCCTTTACTTAAGGAAAGCAATTGCTCTTATTTATGTGGAAGATGTACAAATTTTGGGATGAAAAACAATGGAAGAAGAGTTCATTTATAGCTCATAGATCCTACCCTAAGACTACAAACTTCTGATGTGGGAAGTAATAGAACAATACCCACCGATGTGAAATTCTTTAATTAAGCCACAAAACTCAACATGAACTGCTGAAAAATCTTAAGAGAATGTCAAAATGATATCATTAATTGTCATCACCAAAAAGTCTAATCATAAAGGAACAACAGAAATGAACTCAAATAAACTCCATGTCCTAAAACAAAAAAAATTGAAATGGAGAGATAGCCACACAGCGTAAGATGCATAAATGTACCATCAGAAGAGGATCCAAATGAGAGCTATCAACAATCTCAGCAGATATGAGAACAACAAAAGTGCTACCCCGGAATGCATGAAAATAAGGCCATGCTTCTCGAAAAAACCGAACAAAAAGCTCATCCTTGAGTGAACTGTAGGACTCAACACTCTCGCTTTCCGTTACACCAAATGCATTGGAATTAGCCAATCCATTTTCCGACAGACAACTATTTGAAAATGAATGATTGCTTAAGCGAAGTTGAAGTTGTGGATTTCTGAAATCAATATAGCTTCGAAACCCAGATGTACAAATAGTTGTCCTAGAGAAAGTTCTCTGATTCTGGCCAAGTGAAGGAAAGCAAATTGTCCTTTGACCGGTGGCTTCCATTGAAATTGGAGTTCAGATCCTATCACATTAATGCCTGAGCAATGAAATTGAAAAGCATAACAACAATAAAAATTAGATAAATTGCAAGGTACATTTCAGTATATTATATCAAATAAACTACGACTCAACACAAAACAAAATCTGGGAAAACCCTGTGAACTCAAATACATAAAGTAAATAAATTGATTCCAAATATAGAATAAAAGAATTTACAAATTGATTAAGCAAGAAGCAGTCAGCAAGCAGAAGCAATGGTCAACCACTCGAAAGAACTACTACTCCAGAAACTAAAAGTGACCAAAATTCAATAGATATACTAAATGAAAATCATTGTTCTGTCCCCTCCAAATAATTTTCAGAGGGAGTGAGTAAGTGAGAGAGGTCAAGAAGGAGACAGAAAAAAAAATGTATGAAGAGAACTGTGAAGGAAGCAAATTTCGAACCTACCAGATTCGTGCCAGTGATTAAGATCAGGGTGAACTTCAGAGTTTAAAGGCGAATTTCTGCAGGAGGAATGAAATTTCAGAGATGGAAGGAGACGAGCTGAGGTGACGTAGTAATAACACTATGTGGATAGAACTTAGAGAGAAAAAATTTAAGGGATATGCTAATGTACACCACTTACCTTTACACCATTCATTTTATTTTCTTTTTATTTTTTACTTTTTTTGAAATCTTCTTGCCTTTTTGTGTGGTGATAGAGGGGGTTGGGGGATGTTTGGGGTACACTTTTGGTGTACCCCTAGCATTTTCCAAAATTTAATGAAGGAAAGAGAATATTAAGGGTGTAAACGGATAATATCCGTTTCGGATGTGATCTAACCAAATCGAAATCCTTTTAGGAAAACCGGTATCCGAATCTGCATCCGTGTCCGACGTTATAATTGGTCTGCTGAATCCGAATCTACCGGATTTTTTTGGATTCAGATGTATCTGCATCCAATTCAACATCCGAATTTGTAACGAAAAATCTAAATCCGTATCCGAATATTCAAATCTATAATCTAAAAACATCTTAACATAACCAAAAAAAATCTAAATCCCTAACCAAATTTCTGAATCCACAGCTAATCCGCAATAGAAAAACATCAGATCCTCATAACAAAAACAAATCTAAAACAAAAAAGTAAATTACTAACCAAACAAGTAAAGATTACATCCTGAATGTTTAGACAGCACATCATTCATCCATGCTTTGTTGAGTTTGTTACCGTTAGATTTAATCGGGTTTGTTCACATATAACCGAATGGGTAATGAGTCAATGTTCGGGTCAGTTAGTATGGTGTCGGTTAGTGTGTTTTACATTTTAATTAATTTAAAGAAAACAGTTAGGTAGTTTCTAAAAGCAGTTATGGGTAGTTTCTAATGATAATAGGTGTGTTGGTTTGCAATAGTCGTGTTGGTTAGTAAAAATTGTGTTGGTTTGTTCTCTATTTATATTTGGAGAACACAATGAATCCTGTAACAGTTCAAAACAATAAATAATCTACTTTGCTTTGATCTGATCCTATCTAACAATTGGTATCAGAGCGACAATCAGGACCCATCGATCGAAGGGAGCGGTCTGGAGGTGTGTGATCGGGAGCTGCCAGATCATAAAACAAAGCGTTAGAGACTTACTCGACAACATATCAAGAATCTTCGACAAGATTCTTCCTCGCCTAGGACAAAAATAGCAAGTGGCTAGTTTTTCCTTTGGCAAAAGCATTTCACCAAACAGCGCGGGAAAAACAAATGAGCAGGGTAGCTTTCGTTTAGTGGATAGAAGATGGAAAAGCAGGGGCTTGTCTTCTGGTTGATGGTCGATTGCAGGTGGTTTACAACCTAGGAAGAAATCAAAGTCTAAGAATTTTGTGAAAATTGTGAAAGGAATTAAAGTGGTGTAATGGAAGACAAAAGACAGATTGTGACTACAACTCTACAAGGGAGAATAGTTCACTATCTTATAAGGTTCCAATTTTATTTTCTACAAACTACACTATTTGGGTCGTGAAGATCAAAGCAATTTTTAATGTTAATGGGATTTGGGAGGTTATCGAACCAGGAACAGAAATCGATCCAAAGAAGAACAATATGGAAATAGCATATCTGCTTCAAACTTTCCCGGAAGAGATCGTGTTACAAGTTGCTCAGTTTATCGAAGCGAAAGAAATTTCGGATGCTCTAAAGACTCACTTTGTTGGTGTTGACAACGTTAAAGCGGCGCGATTACAGACACTCGAATTAGATTTCGAGACTCTAAAGATGAAGAACAATGAGTCACTTGATGATTTTGTTGGTCCTATTTACTGCAAATTTCACTTTCCAAAACTCATTCTTCCCCTTCATAAAATTTCAATCTCCACTCCAAAAATATGAACAAAATATAGCGAACCGGGTTGCTACAGAATTGGCATTCAGACATAATCTTACTATATACAAAGATAGGATGCAAATTGGAACAGTGTTCCACAGTAATGGGTCGGGTTCGGGCTTCTGCTGGCATGGATGGGTAGGGTGTCCTGTCTTCCAGCTGTTCACCTGAAACGATGCTTCCGAATTGTGCCAGGTACAGTAAAATGAGAGCAGTGGCATTGATTAGAGGGAGCGTATGGGAGAAGCTAAGCAGCTTTTCTCGAGTTTTACGCCAACCTTCTTCCGCTAGATCCGTAAAAAAAGAACGAGCTCTCTCTTCCCTCCACCTAAACGGCGAAGCATCTAGGGTTCCTCTTCCTATGGCGGACATATAGCCTTCTGATATGCACATATTTTATACACTTTTTAATCATATTTTGAAGGAGTTTTGAGTCTCAATTGAATTTAATGTTTATATTTTATTTCAATTTTCCGTTTTATTTGTGTAGAGCGGTCCTATGCTTGGTTTTATATGTTTTGTAGGTATTTTGAGGCCATTTGGACGCATTGAGAACAATTTCAAGAACGGAAAATAAACATGGAAGTTTGGGACC